AATGAGATAACCTGTAAGCAGGCCTCTCCATACCCCCACGCAAAGATTAGTTCAAGCAGGAATTCCTGTTAGGAATAATCTCTGTAAAGCCTGTAGGTAGGGAGCATTGCCAGGGCAGGAGCTCTATGCAGATAAACATGCCCAGTCCACATCACACTCAATCTAGTTACAAAGTGCATGCAGAGCACTCTCTATATAGGTTTGGAGAGAGGCAAAATAGGGGTGAACAACTTCTATGTCCCCATCCCACCGTTGACCATAGACTGTCTTTCAGGAGTCCATGGGCAGGGCCCGCCAGAATGTGACTCCAAGGAGCTAGCAGTAGGCTGTAGCAATAATGCATAGTTCTGCCTCTAGACAGGGCCCTACAAATAGAGAATTACCTGTGCCCAGAAGAAAACAGCTGAATTCTTTAGGAATTTATACTTCATAATGTATCGGGGAGGGTTAAAGTATACCAAGAGTTGGGCAGCTTGACCCAAATAAGATTGTATTTATCTATGGATGAGCTCTCGTTCAGAGGAAGGGTCAGAAGACATTAATCTCAATTCTATTCCCCCTGAATACCGGAGGCATAAATTAGACCAGCTCTAGAGACTACTCTGCCTGCCATGCTTGCCTAGTGCAGGGGCCCAGAACAGCAGGGACATGTTGTGCTCTGGTAAAAGGACAATGAGGATACTTAGGAGGCTAAATAAGATGATTTTGCAGTAATCAAAGTGGACTATAATGAGGGCCCGAATGAAAGATTTGGCTGTGAAAAGAAGATCTGGGGGTGGAAAAAAAAGGATGGATGTTGAGGAGGTAGAAATAGCAAGATTTGCATATGGCCTGATGTATATGACGGGGAAAGGGAGGAGTCAAAAGTACCCCAAATCGCAGGTTTGAGTGATGGGAAAGATGGTGGTGCTGTCAGCAGTGATAGAAAAGGGGCACAGCAGGGAAGGTTTGGGAGGAAACATAAGGAGTTTGATTTTGGTCGTGTTACGCTTCAGCTGATGACAAGACATCGCATCGGGGAGAAGCTAAAATGTGGGATTGAATGGAAGGAGATAGGCTGTGGAAGAAAGATTTGCAAATCATTATCCTAGAGATGATAGTGCTATCTGATGAAATTGCCCAGAGACAATGAGAATTGAGAAGAGCCCCAGGTATCCCTACAGGCAGTGGGAGGGGGAGAAGGAGAACCTACTGAAAGAGATGCTGAAAGAGCCATCAGAGAAATAGGAGGAGAACCAGAAGAAGACAGTATCTCAAAATCCCAGTGAGAATAAGATAGCAAAGGTGACTGACAGTGTCAAAAGTAGCAAAGATGTATGAATTTAGAATAACTTTTGAGAAAGATAACTAAATACCGCCTTAGCACTAGCATTTTACAGACTGTAATAGACAAGCTGTGTTGTAATGTCTTCACAGAGTTCTCATTGCCCCAAGTCTTACTGAACTCTTGAAATAAGTATACAGGTTGACATAGGTGTCATTTGCAGGGTCTCCATATTCTCTCCCCACATTTGAGTTTGGCATCTCAGAGCAAACTTTAAATAAGCAAATTTTCTTTTTCCTGCGGCATGCCAGACTGTGGCACTACTAATTTCCCCAGAGCTCCTGAACCTCTTTTGGTTTTCATCTGATGATTCCTTTTCACTCACTGGAAGGTGAGAGCTGTTTAAATTACAGCTTGATGTCTTCTGTGCAGTGATGGGCAACCTGCAGTCCGTGGGCTGCACACGGCCCATCAGGGTAATCTGCTGGCAGGCCGCCAGTTCGTTTACATTTGCATGGCCGCCCACAGCTCCCAGTGGCCACGGTTCGCCATTCCTGGCCAATGAGAGCTGCAGGAAGTGGCGGTCAGCATATCCCTGAGGCCCATGCCACTTCCCGCAGCTCCAATTGGCCGGGAATGGCAAAACGCAGCCACTGGGAACTGTAGGCAGCCATGCAAATGTAAACAAATTGTCTGGCGGCTCGCCAGCAGATTACCCTGACGGGCTGCAGGTTGTCCACCACTGCTTCTGTGGTTTATCAGTTCTGTGACTGGTAAGCACGCAGGTAGCTGTAAGTAAATGGGCTCCAGAGCTCTGGAGAACAGTAAGGGCAGCCCAACTAGTCATGGGAAACTGGGAGAGGGAAGTGATTTTATTTTGTAGGGATGGTGGATTCTATCGCTGGATAGGATGAATGCTAAAAGGAAAGGGGTAATAATATCATGAAAGAGCGGTGATAAGAAGAGCACTTCCTGATGGTGGAACCTAATTATTATTTCAGGCCTTGGCTCATTTCAGAAATTTGTAAACTTGATTAATTTCCCATTGCAATGGTAGTTCTGAGTGGCATAACTCAGAAGCTGTTTATAGTTGTCTTCTGTTCCTCTCCTTTTGTTCTGTCCACTGAATTTATTTCCACAAGGCACCATGTAAAAAAAGATTCCATGGGGAAGGATGGGAGAAAGCAGACCTCAGTCTATATTATTTATACATTGGGGGGTGGAGCTGGCAACAGTCTGACTTGTAACTGAAAAGAGGACATTATAGTCTTAGGCCATGTCTACATGTACAACGCTGTGGTGAAGATGCTCTATGCTGGTCTCCCATAGGCATAAAAAAAACCACCCCTGCAAGCAGCATAAGTTATATCGGCAGGAGAAGCTCTCCCACCAACATAGCACTGTGCACATGAGTGCTTATATCAGTGTAACTTATGTTGCTCGGGGGTGGAATACTCACACACCTGAGGGACATAAGTTTTGCCGACATAGGCGGATGTGTAGACATAGCCTTACTTACAAAGAGCATTAGATTTTCAGAGCACTGTAGAAAAGTTAACTAATTAAACTAGAACAGTTTAGAGACACTGTCAGTGCAATTGGGTGAAGGGTTTGCTCACACATTCAGCCCATCCCTTCATCAAGACCTTTCTTTCTTTCTGAAATGACATAGCTGCTGGTTCATCTTTTGGACAGTCCATTTCTTTGCTGGGTGGGATAAAGTCTGATTCTGCAGAAGGCCATCCTGCATCCTGACACAGCTTAGAATTTTCCAATCCTAAGACTAAAACAGATTCTCACTGGAAGCAAAAGAATCCTATAAACACTTGTTTAAACTGCCCCTGCACTTGGAGTACAGAACCTCTACATGTTCTGATCAGAAAGTATTTATCAGGCAAATGGTTAATTAAAATAAATGATTGAACTAATTCTACATATCTGATATGAAAATGTACTGATTTTCACATTCCAAACAATTTTAAAGACTAAATATCGTGCATGAGTTTGGACAAGTTTTACTGTTTGAAACTACTGGACTGAACAGTTATTTAAAAACAAAATCCATACCATGCTTTCTAAGCTCAGGAATACACTCACCTTCCTCAGATAATGTGGTCATACTTAGCTCCAGAATGAGAATGTGAGGGTGGACAATTTCTGTTTACTGACTTGTCGTGGAAGGATAGTGTTCAGTCCACTTGCCAAGCACCAATTTGAAATTCAAGAAGTAATGGTTCTTTGAGCTCTACAGTCTTTCAAAGTACAAATTGAAAAGCTGAAAAAAACTGCATGTGGAATGCTCACAATTTCTCACTTTTATGGCAGTTGCTGATTCTCTGAAGGAAATATCATGTCTAATGGAAACAAATTGTACAGTGGCAGAGACTTTTAAATAGCCACGTATCAATATTTTAATGAGGAGTTCCCACAAGAAAATGTCCCTGTTAGCCTGTGATAAACCCCTTCTTCCAAATGTGCCTGGGCTACAAAGAGGAATGGGGGACTGACTGGACAGTCTATTCATTTTTTTATGTCCAAAACACTGTCTCTTAACCATAGCCAAGGAAGGAGGGCAACAAATATATATGAAACATTTCACTGGAAATGTTTACACTGTTTCTGAAGATATAGGGGGTATATTGACAGTACAGCGGAGTGTTCAACGAAGTGTGATTTGAAATGGGGTGTTGTGTATGACAGGCCTTTCAGGGCGGGGACTCAAGTTCCTTCTCTGGGAAATTTTATTAAAGTACCTGACATTTAATGCAATTTTCTGAATTCCATAGACTACTCTCTAGAAAAAGCAGAGTCCTGTGGAACCTTAAAGACTAACAGATGTACTGGAGCATAAGCTTTCATGGGTGAATACCCACTTCGTCAGACACATGCGAGTATTCACCCATGAAAGCTTATGCTCCAATACATCTGTTAGTCTATAAGGTGCCACAGGACTCTTTGTTGCTTTTTACAGATCCAGACTAACATGGCTACCTCGCTGATACTCTCTAGAAGTATTTTAAAGAGCCCCAGGGATAAATTGTCTCTAAGGTAATTAAGCAACATCCAGAGAGAGAGTATCTGAGGAGCAGGGGTGGATTCCATAGCCCAGATTCTCTTGTCCTAAAGCCACTTTGTGCCATGATGTAACCTTGGACACAATGGAGAATCCAGTCCCATTAGAGGGCAGGAAATCACCCAAATCTTACCTTTAGTTTAGTGGTGGAATTTTAATAAGGAGCTTCTGAGAGTCGCTTTGAGCCCTTTCCAGCACCTTTTGGCTTTTAAAAACTCTAAAAATTAATCCAAACTAAGAGAGTCTCCCTGCAAAGCAGTAAGACTTATGTTTCAGGAAGGTATAACCCACCAGGAGTCATGGGAGATCACAAAAAAATTGTTAAAATGTTTCCCCCCTTTTTTTAATTTAAATTTGAAATTTCCATGAAGAATCTTGTAAAAACAAAAAAACAACCCTGAAATTGTTGGCCAGCTCTACATAGCCACGCTTGTGATGACTAAACCAAATAGTTCAGAGATTTGGTTTGGCTAAGCACGAAAAGGTTTGTCTACCTAGTTGAACCCAAAAGATTCCCATCCATGCATACTTTTCAGACCCCTTGTGTCCTGTATCCCTTTCTCTCTTAGGCTCTTTTTCCTCACTTCACTTCTCCCTTGCCAGTCTTTTAGAACTCTACTACCTTCCCCTTTGCAACCCCCCTCCACTTTTTCTTCCCTACAGACTCCCAGTGCCTTCTGAGCCTCCCTGATGCCTCATGATCATATTCCAGGTTTCCAGCTCCTCCAGACTTTCACAGGGGGTGTCTCCTGCTTGTTGAGTTGTGACCCTTACCCTTCTAACAGCCCCTCCACAGCACCAATAATGATTCAAAAGATGCATCTAAGGGTAGGAGCAATTAAGTTGCTGTGTTCAGGTGTTATCACTGTTTTCTAACTAATTTCCTACTTTTTCTTTATTTTTTTTTGCAGAAAAGCTTGTTAAAAAATCAACAAAAATCTTTCTCAACCCCCCTAAAGTGTGCAGACAGCAGAGTAGTTTGAATAGGAGTTATGTAATGCACATTTCTTTGTAGATAATTGGAGGCTCAAATAGCAGTGCAGTGCAGGTGATTTTAATATTTTGTGGACACTCTGTAACCTACAACAGATATTTCACTGCCTGCATATTGCTTGCCAAAAACACACCAAAACTTAGCATGCAGTACTTATTGCTATGATTGTTTCTGAGCTGCAGGGAACAAAAGAGGATAGCAAGTAGTTTTGGAGATAATGCTTCATGCAATACCAAGATATAGGACACAGCTTGTGACTAAACTAACTGTGAAACAGAATTTTCCTGTGTTGGCCGCATGAGAGTAACAAAGGAAAGCAAAGCTCAGGTGAGTGCAAAAAATTAGCAGAGGAATAAGTAGTTAGATCTGATTAGAATTTATCAAAAAAATTGTTTTGCTTTTGTTTTTTGTCATGCCTATAAGCTTTCAGTACTTACTTGGAAAAATCACTGAACTCCTATTGATTTTGGTTGGAGTTTGCAATTCAGGAGAAATGCTGGGTTCCAGGCTCTCATAGCACTTTAATTAAAATCTCTTTTATATAGTCATACTGCTGCTAACCTTATCTATGAATTTTGCTTGCAAAATACTATCTTTAAAACAGATAAATCCAGATCATTCTTGGCAATGCGTGAGAGGAATATTACTACATTTATGACACAATAGTGATACTGTAAATATTCTGATTTATTTTATCATAGCCTTAAGCCAAGGAAAAATAAACAAAATGTGAAGGTATGGTAGTAGAATTCGCATTGTAATGCATGATTGGATTCTTAGATGTTTGGGGCCAACTTCATTGCTTGTGTAACTGCATAATATCAGGGGAGTTACAGAATGGTTGTACTTGACCTTTGAAGTTTAACATTAACTAAATGTTCAGGTGGCATTTCTGGTATGTTGTGAGAGATAATGCTGTGGAATTTGGATTAAATATTTAATTTCAACAAGAAGCTGTCTGTATCCTGAATTCAAAAGAAACATGTTTTCCTAACTTTTAAAATAGTTGCTAGACATGGGAGATGAGTTTGAAATTAAATTACCTTGAAGTGAGCTCCTTAAAGATTGCTCTAGAACACTCATCTGCCTCTTTTCATGGATGTGTAAATCCTGGGGCATTTGCCAGCCACCATAATTTCTGTAAATATACTGGTGTGTGACCAAATATCAAAGAAATAAGTGGACTGAAATGTACCTCTTTTGTAAACTATAAATTTGGAATGTAATTGAGAGGACAATGAAGCCATTCTATCAAGATGCAATGATGTTTCTAATTTTGAACATGCTCTTTGTTGGGTTTTCAGGAGGGACTGAATCCAGAATATCTAGATCCAAAGCATAGACTTCTACTATGTGACCAAAACCCATTAGCAGGGAGCGGTCCTCTGAGGATCAGCCACAGATTACTAATACAAGGTGTCAAGGCTGCTTCCCCACTTTGAACTTTAGGGTACAAATGTGGGGGCCTGCATGAAAACTTCTAAGTTTAACTACCAGCTTAGATCTGGTCCGCTGCCACCATCCCAAAGCTAATTCCCTTCCCTGGGTAGCCTTGAGAGACCTTCACCAATTCCCTGGTGAATACAGATCCAAACCCCTTGGATATTAAAACAAGGAGAAATTAATCATCCCCCCTCCTTCCTCCCACCAACTCCTGGTGGATCAAAATCCAACCCCCTTGGATCTAAAAACAAGGAAAAATCAATCAGGTTCTTAAAAAGAAGGCTTTTAATTAAAGAAAAAGGTAAAAATACC